TTTTTCTTAACTTTTTTTTTTGTAAGAAACGATATTGCTGTAAGGAAATAATGCTAGAATTTTGGAGATGCACTTTTTAATAACTATTCAGATTGGGAAATACATATGTTTGAAATTTTGGTAACAGTTTGAAACTGTTTTTGAAAAATACGTTTTTGGCCTGTTTAATTTAAAAGGCTCAAATTGCAAGAGAGGAGAAAAAAAAAGAAAAGAAGAAAATCAAGAAAATTCAAATATCACTGGCTTTTTTTGCTGAATGGAGGAGAAGATGGGTTATCGATAAACAGCAGCGAAGAGTGCTGAAAAGTGCTACTGCTCATTTTGTCAAGAACATCCACTCAACTTCAAACCCAACAAAAATGTTTTTTTTCTCTCCTTGTCTATTTAAAATTACCACCTTCTTTATTTTTTTGTTTTTAAAATAATATTTAATGAACTGGATTGCTATGACTAAAAAAAAAAAAAAAAACACTTTCAAGCAATAAAAAGCAACGATGATTGCTTAAAGACAAAAAAAACACATGAACATTTAATGCTGCTCTTCTTCTGGATAGTTATTTGAACAAATTTAAAAATAAGGAAGAAAAATATTGTTATATAGCTGTAAAGTGATTAACTGTTAAGCTATTTTTTTTGTGTGCAAAAACAACCCTCACTGTGCCGCATTATCAATTTGAATCTGGACCAAAAAAAAAAAGGAAAAAAAACATGCCAAATTGACGCCTAGTTCCAAGTAAACAATTCTAGCAAATTTAATTTACGGATTTTCATTCACTCACACCAAAGATACTCTATTCAGATAATTACAGAAACATTTAAATGGCTTCTCTTATTCGGACTGAAAACACACGAATCCATTATCCAGCTAGAAAAAATGCGGCAACCAGTAGCGCTGTTTGTCTGGTGGTTTTGCTTTTCTTTCGTCACTAAACATTTTTCAAAGCTTGTTAAACATCGAGAAGTCAAACTGCCAAATCTTTATCCCTCATATCAATGTCAGTAATTACCGATGTTATTTTTAGCCGACGACAAAGAAAAACGAGCCAAAACATTTATTTTCAAGTAAACATTTTTAGCAGCCACAACATACAGGAACTACAAATCCGTCCTCCAGCAAATGTAAATCATCCTGCTCACTACCGTTCGAGCAATTTCTGTAAAAAAAAAAAACGACGTGAACATACCTTAATTTTGACTCAGCAACCCAAAACAAAGCAGCAGCTTTTCCCCATTATCCTTCTTGTTCTAAAAAGCAAGTACAAACTGCTTCACACTTCTCTTTTTCGAATATTTTTGTGCCAGAAAACGATTAATGCTTGCAAGGAAACCAAACAAATGAAAATTAAATTTCGCTAATAGCTAGTGTGGAAATTATTATGCTCCAAAAAACGGTGTTTGTTACCCAAATGTTGTCCGCTAAACTCGCTAATCTTTTTTCGTCAATAAACTTGTCAATTCTTCTGGTCTAAAATACTGCCATTCTCTATGTCAAAACTAATTTTAAGAAAAAAAAAAAGAAAAAAAACACTTCATTGTCAGTCCAAATTAGTCTGACTTGTATTTACCCCTTAGCACATCCAAAGACAACTGCTTCAGGCCCCCTACATCCAAAATTCCCAATCTACTACTGCCGGAAAGTTTCTCCTCACCGTTTACTAAAAACATTTCAGGAAAACAAGTTGTTCATTCTCCTCCTTTTATAGCATTAAACTGCCCTAATTGATAAGGTTAACCAAACCAAAATGTAGAAGCTTTGCTCAGTACAACAACAGCCTTTTACCAGACTAAGCAATACTTTTGAAAAACTTTAAAGCAAAAAATGAGGAAAACAAAGATATGAACACAGTCACATCTATCAGGAGATACGTAGTTGAAAAAATTAACAGCACACCAGCAGAAACGAGATGGATGTATCCAATCGTTAATGTATTTCAAAGTGCTGCAGCGGAAGTTTTTTTTGTGATCGCTCCTCTTTCAAAATGGTCGATGCGACTTTTCACAACTCCGTTAACAATTATCGTATCCTGCTTGGAAAGCGCGATAAACAACCACAACAGTAAAAAAAAAAAAAAAAAAAAAAAAAAAAAAAAA